CCTTTGTTTTCTGGCGTATGACTTTGTGGTTGATTTTGTCTCGCAGAGATAAATGCGACATCTTTCTCTCCATAGCTCGTTGAGTAGTCACAAGCTTCTGTTCTAGATCCTTTGTCAATGACCATGTTTCTGATCCATATGTCATAGTTGTTAAAATGCATTGGTTGAACATTCTTCTTCTTAGTGGCATGGGTATGTTTTTATCAGTCAACATGTCTTTGTATCTTCCAAAGTTCATCCATCCTGCTTTTACTCTCATCATAACTTCTTCTTTTGTGGTGTCCTCCATTTTCAAAGTTTGTCCCAGATACTTGTAACTGCTCACTCTCTCTAACATTCGACCTTCTATTTTGATGTTTTCATCTGTGTCATAGTTAGTCATATATTTAGTTTTCTCTTTGTGCATAGTTAGGCCAATATGTTTGCTCTCCCTGTTGAGACCTGTCAGCTGGTCTTCCAAGTCTTTGGTTGATGTTGAGATCAAGGCCACATCATCAGCGAATCTTAGATCATTAAGTGTTTCCCCATCAATATTTATTCCTCCATTTAAATGCGACTTTTTAAATACTTCCTCTATAGTGGCTGTGAATATCTTTGGAGATAATGTGTCTCCCTGTCGGACTCCTCTCTGGATCTTGACCTCCCTTGATACATCATTATCAATGTGAATTCTGGCTACTGCGTTGGTGTAAATATCTTCCAGGATGCGCACATACCCTTCTTCAATGTTAATCTTTCGTAGGGCATTAAACATGTCTGTGTGTTCGATGGAATCAAACGCCTTCTGGTAGTCTACGAATCCGAGGCATAGTTGAAGTTGGTACTCGTTTGCCTTCTCAATGAGTTGATTTATAGCTTGTAGGTGGTCTGTTGTTGAGAATCCAGCTCTAAACCCTACTTGTTCTCTGGGTTGATTTGTGTCCAATATATCTTTGATTCTATTTTGGATTACTTTGGTGAAGATCTTGTACAGATGAGATAGAAGGCTGATAGGGCGATAGTTTTTTACATCAGCTTTGTCACCTTTCTTGTATAAAAGAATTATTTTTGCCTCTTTCCAAGTGGTTGGAATCTGTTGCTTTTCCAATATCTGGTTGAATAGTTTCATTAACTGTGTGATTGTCTCCTCCCCTCCATGTTTGATAATATCACTTGTTATTTCGTCATTTCCCGGTGCCTTGTTGTCCTTCATATTGTTTACAGCTTCCTCAACTTCTCTCTGTAGTATTGGTGGTATGTCTGATTTTTTGGATGAGATATCTATATGATCCTTCGGTTGTTTTTTCGTTGAACCATAAAGTTCCTGGTAGAAATCGGCGCATATTTCTAGTATCTCCGATCTCTCAGAAGTTATATTTCCATCTTTTTGCTTCAATTTGCTCATTCTTGATTTTTTGCTTGCCATCTTTTGTATTGTTTTTGGTCCCCTTCCGCTTTCTAGAGTTTCTAAAAATGAGTTTAGAATTTTTTCGTCTGTTCCTTTGGCGTCGTTTCTTTTTCACCAATTTGACTATTTCTGCATACTCCACTTTTTCTGTTGTTGTCTTGGATTCTTTCAGTCGTATTTCCTTTCTTCTTTGATCTAGTTCCTCTATTTCTTTGTCTTCTTCCGATCTTACTATCTTTCTTTTCTCAGTTGGGGCTGCAGACCGACCACGGTTAAGGACAAACATTTTTTCAATGCAAACACAGAGTAGAAGAAAAAAAATTAAGAAAAAAGACATAGGCTGTGTCGTCGATGCATTCATTATCCAAAATTCCTTTTGAATATTAACGACATTTCTTCGTATTCACCACCACCGAGAAGGTTATTATACAGTGCGTTCCAGAAAAAACGAAACCGAGAATTGTCGATGTTTTATCATAACTTAGTCACATTTATAATCAATAAATGACACATATTTGGAAAGCTTAGATCCTTCTCTTTCATTTGATGCAACTCATATGATGCATATTTCACGTATGAGTGAGTAAAATGAATTTGAAGAGAGGAAACCAAAACGTAATTTGGCGGACGGTATCTGAATTTCAAAGAGAAAATCACATTTCTAGAAAGCCGAGTTCCTGCCCTTTCATATTACACCTCAGTCAGGAAAATGAGCTAGGAATAACAAAGTTCTGTTTGTTTAAAGTAGTGCTTGCATTTCCATAATTTTAGTAAACGAATTCGTTTTCACTGGCTACCTGCCGTAGCAACAAACAGAATTAACAAAAGACTTAACTCCGTTTCGTTGACAATCAACCGCAGACGAAAGACTTCATGCATAGCTGATAGTTTTATAGTTTGGAAGTTCTGTAATCAGGAAAAAGGCTCAAAATGGTCCTGGTGTCACAGAAAACTCAACAAGGAAAAAAGAAGAAAAAAGAAGAAAAAAAGAAGATAAGATTGAACCTTGAAAGTGTGTGATTTTTTATATTTTTAAAAAAGGGGATTTTATATTTGTGCTTGCCTTTCGACTGCTCGTGAAACATGGCATTAAAAATATTTTACATTTAGTATTCTGCCTCATTTCGTTCACTGAAATGGTATTGTTGCTGATTACTGAGTCACATTTTCCAAGATTCATCAGATCTTGATATGAGCATTAATAAGAGGTGAAAAGGGCCATTTATGAAAAAAGGGAAAGGTCCCTTATTAGAAAGGAAAGGGGGCACGTATCATTGTTAACTGGAAATTATCAGAGGTGAAAAGGAGCTCTTATCGCACCTGACAAAAGGCACTGACCAGATGTGAAAAGAGGTACTTATGAGAATGAACAGGGACACTTTTCTAGGTGAAAAGGGGCATTTATGAGAAGGGGAAGGAGCTCTTTTTTTAAATTGGGGCCCTTATCATAAGGAAGAGGGTCATTTATTAGAAAGGAAAAGGAGCACATGTGAAAATAAAAGGTGCGCTTATCGGGGTATAAAAGGGGTAGTTATTAAAAGGGGAATGGGCACTTCTCACAAAGGATAAGGGGCACTTGTCAAAGTAAAAGGGGCACCTCTCAAATTTGAAAAGGGTAATTATTAGAGGTGAAGGGGGCACTTATCTAAAATGAAAACGGGCACTTCTCGTTCCTGAAAAGGGGCACTTATGAGAATGGACAATGAACACTTATTGCAAAATAAAATGGGATATTTTTTTCCTATGTAAAAGGGGGCACTTCTTACGAAGATATAGGGGCACTTTTACTATTTAAAAAGGGGCACTTTTTTGGGGGGGGGGGAACATCCATAAATTTGAAAACCGGATAGTAAACCGGTCTTTTACGCTTCGAAGTTTTATTCTGATTTTGGACAAAACAAAGCTATCTGTATCAGACATTTATCAAGAACACCACAATATGCATGGCACCTTTTATTTCCCATTAACCATTCACTACTTTTGTTTTGTTTTCTTGTTTTTTTGTTGCTGTGTTTTCTTTCTTATCAACACACTGTCCAACTATTCAACACAGAAATGACCTGTCAAGTTTGAGGAAAATATGCCTTTGGCGAATTAAATATTTGAAGTATGCACGCTGAGTGAATTTTGTACATAATGATTTTTTTCGTAATCTTGGTGCTGACTTTCATGTTGTTATTGACAAAATACCAGATTATAACTATGATAGAATTTTTGACAAAGTAAAACGCCAGATGATTTCTTGGATCAAAAAGAACATTACGGTTCTTGGAAGAGTTACAACTCAGTGCTAAATCATTACTGTTATACCACAGTTTAATCATCTTGTTATGGCAATCCCAGATCCTAAAATCCCAAATCCCAGCTTAGTTAATGAAACCATAAAAGTTCAGTTCTTTAACTTTAAATGGAAGAATAAGCCAAATAAACTTAGTAGGAAACAGGTTGTTGGCACATATGAAGAAGGGGTACTTAAAATGCCAGATATTGAGTTTTTTTACATGTCACTAAAGTTATGGTTTCGAAGAATGATTTTAGGAACATGTAATGATGTTAGTCATTTAATGCAATCGTTTTTAACAAAACCATTTGTAGCAGGGTTTGGTGATGAATATTTTTCGGCATTGTCTCATGAAGTTGCTAATCCTTTTTGGAGACATGTGTTTAACGCTCTGTCTATGTTGAGTCGTATAGAGGGAGATGATTGCTTAGATAATCCGTTGTGGAGAAATAGCTCAATAAAAAAATTGGACAAAAATCTGTATTTTAAAAATCTTGGTATGAAAAAGGCATCAGATGATTTGATTGATGAAAAAATTTATTTGTCTTATTATTCTGTAACTCAGGCTATAAAGTGTCGATATCAAATGCATATTTAAAAATGTGAAAAAAATGAGTGGATCCTCTAATACCGTCGCATATCAAAATATTAGTACATGACATAAAAAGTTGTCAATATATTTACAAAACTTTTCTGGGAAAAACAAATTGTGTGCACTCAATATGTCTGAAATAGGAACGACATTTAGATTATAACCCTGAATGTCCAAGAATGCAGAAGTATCATAGAATGATATTTCATTTTACTTCAGATATCGGTTTAAGATATATTCAGTATAAGATATTAAATAGGATTCTGTATTTGAACAAGCAACTGTATAAGATGAAAATAGTGAGTAATGATAAATGTTCGCTTTGTAAAAGAGAGCTGGAAAATATAGAACATTTCTTATACAATTGTGAAATCAGTAAATCAATCTGGAATGAAACGGTGAAATGGATAAATGAAGGTTCTCGATTACATAAAGAGTTTAATTTAGAAAATGTAATTTTTGGTTTTGAAGACAAAAGAAACGATGCTTTAAATTGCTTGGTGACTTTGATTAAGCATCAACTATTTGTTTAAATTTATAGCAAAATTACAAATTTTAGTTCTTAGAAGAAGAAAATAGCCTATGGAGGGCTAAAACGTTTTTTTAAATATTTTTAATGCACGCCGATACCAATAGCACGTACCCAATACTTCTCTTCACAATGGAGATGCACCCCTAACAATAATGCGATTTGGCATTACTTCAATTGACACAAAATATAATGCACATCAACACAAACATTAACGTTTAGTTCAGTTTATTAAAGAAAGTACTTCATTTTGAATAATCAAATACAATAAACGTCATACCTAAGTCCTGGCCTAAGACTGGCCGGTATTCTGAATTCGGGTCTAGTCATGAGTAAATTTAAACAACTGTTTTGTAAGACAGGACTTAAACGCCCTGTCTAATTAAATTTCGTAGTGTCCACATCTAAATAAACAACTGTTTAAGTCCTGTTTAAAGTCGTGTATAACTATGAACTCATGTTTAACTTATTAGTCTGTTTCATTTTTACTAAAGAAAAGAAACCCTGGAAATGTATTCCTTCCTCTTTACATCGAATAATATAAAATTTGAGGCACAGAAATACAAAATTAATACATACATCATGCCTGCCACCGATATCAATACCAAATATATGAGCGAAGTGAAAGTACAGTGTTGTCTCCTTCGTCATATTATCAATATAATCTGCAAGCTTTTTCCATATTGGAGCAATTACTGTGCATTTACTAAATAAATGAATCAAGGTTTCAGGAAGCTCTTGATACACAACTGTTTAGTAAAACAGGATTTAGTTACGGCCGTTAAAAATACGGGCCTAAGTCTGCAGGTAATCCGACTCCTTTATTAACATTTGTTTCAAAGAACTTTCTCTACGATACGTAACGAAAAATGCAACGTACATTCCCAGCATAACTAGCCGTAAAGAGATATAGACACAATCAAGCACTACAAAAAGCAATAAAATACACGTTATTCTGGAAGCAATACTTTTCCAACTCAGTTGATAGAATCATGATATAACACGGAGTGTGTTTACTTTTTTTTAATTACTAAATCACCTTGCACAATCTTTATGCTTAAATTAAAACCGAAATGAATAAATCGAATCATATAAACGAAGACAATTAAATCAGAACATCACTGGCGTAGAGCTCATCCCGCCTTCGGCTAAAGTAATTATCGCGATTCTATAAATCTCTCTTCTAAATTGGTTTGCTAAAATGAACACTGATCCTTTTATATGATTTATAAACATTTGGTTATGCTGAGGAAAGCACAGAACTTTTCCCTGATTTCATAATTGTTAACGCTATGTTTAGTAAAAATACGTCACTTAAAGACAACCCTCGTATAATCATTTAAACAATTAAACCAGAACAACACTGGCGTAAAGCTCATCCGGCCTTCGGCTAAAGTAATTATCACGATTCTATAAATCTCTCTTCTAAATTGGTTTGCTAAAATGAACACTGATCCTTTTATATGATTTATAAACATTTGGTTATGCTGAGGAAAGCACAGAACTTTTCCCTGATTTCATAATTGTTAACGCTATGTTTAGTAAAAAATACGTCACTTAAAGACAACCCTCATATACTCATATATTTTAAATACCTTACGTTTATTCAGATATCCTAATTTATATACACAATTATTAATTGGGACCTCAATAATAAAAGCTTTGCTATTTAGAAGATTCTCCATTTTATTTTGCTTTTTCAATGTATTTATCATACTTATGAGTGTATCTTTTTTCGTAACTTTTACCATGAACATTATGTTCAATTATGTTATTTTCGATAAAGTGGAAACAAACAAACTTGAAACATGAAAGAAGAAGCATTTTTTGAAAATGAGTGTGCTTTAATTATCATGATGAGGATTGAAGCAAAATATAAAGATACTGAGTAGATTTTTTAAGCACCCAACCTAGCTTTATTAGACATAATACTACAGATCATAATCAGTTGATAAATGAATTAGATATATTTGTTGATGGATTTGTACCAATCCAATCAATATCTTTATAAAGAAAACAACATCAAAATTACCCCAGCATAAGAATTTTGCAATTATGTGTTGAATATTGAATGCCCCATCTTGCCTTATTAAACACAACTCAGTTGATGATTATGGGAGAAAAGGCATTACTTGTAAATTTTGACAAAAATTACATAAATTATTATAATCAATGCTTAAGGCAAAATTTCAAAATTCTTTGAAAAAAATCCTTGTATCTCACTTAATTAGCTCTGTTTAGAGAAAAGAAGCAAAATAAAAATCAGTCAATGAAGGATACATATTCTGAAGGAAAAGCGTTTTGAAATTGTGGGCGGGATGCCAAGCCCCGGTATAAGCTCATCGGACCAATTCGGGCCGAGTGAGCTTTAAATACTAACAAACCGAAAAGAAGAAAAAACGATATCAACAACTGTTGTTGTAAAAAGAAAAGAAAAGAACAATGAAGACAAATAGAATAACGATGAAGCGCCTGTGATCAAATTTCGTTATAGGTTATCCTCACAATTTTGGCCTCGGCTGGTGATAAAACGATTCATGCACAACGACGTCGTCAGGGATATCATTGACATTGGCACAACCTGAAAAGAAAACGCCAGGCAACATATTTTTAAAGATGTCGAACTACTGAATCAATAACATTATTTCATTTTAATTCTCTTCAGTCTGGAGTGCTCACAACTTTTTAAAAGAATACGCCATATACAACGTTGAGACTATTTACCGTGGCACAGCATATGAGTCTTTCCATGAAGGGAGCACTGGCTTGAGGCGGGGGAGGGGGGGGCACCAGTCTTCATTATTCTTTTGTCATTTGAGATTTGATAATGGCATTCTAACTACGCCACTCAGCACGATGCGAATGACAAAATGACCAATAATGGAGCAAATGTTAGAAATGTTTAAACATGAATGACTAAATATACAAGAACAACAACAAAATAACCCAAGATAAAAAAAAATACCGATTAATGGTTCAAATCCAGTTGTTCGTCATTCTTAATAAAGAAATTGGAAAATTCTTCCAAAAGTGAAGTCCGTTAGCCGAGGAAATGTTCACGATACTAAAAAGGAATGTTCCCGACGAATAAATAAATCATCTCACGTACAACATGACATGGAGTGAAAATGATCGATTGGACGAAACAATAACCCCTCTAATTCCTGATTAAGAATGCATGTTACTAATAAACTGGTCACTCTCCATGCATTGGGTAATAATCCTTTTCCTCACATTAAGTGATTCATGGGAAGAAGAGGGTTAAAATGCATGATAGATATAAAGGGAAGACAGAACATCAAAAGCGCCGACTCCATGATTAAAGGGTACATACTACCAAGGACAATTTCTGGAAAGAAAAGATACAAGTTTTCTACACTATGATAGGGGATATTTTGTAATTGCACTGAGGGTCGGCGTTACAGGGGGGGGGGGGGAACTGATGCTTAACCTATGTTTTTCCAAAAAGGGGAAACGGGAAAAATTGATGGATTTGGGGACGGGGTCATACTCAGTCGCCAATACCAACAGCATCTAAACATGTTTTTAAAAAGTGTAATGTGTGTCCCCTTCCGAAAAAGTATCTAGATTTTTTTTTTTGCTGGCTTTTTATATGAGCCACCGAAATGTAAGGTTTGCATTTTGTATTTGTATTGACATTTACACTAGTCTAGCCATCCCAATCAATGTTTAAGCTATTTCATCACTGTGTTTTTTTATAATCGTTAGTTCGAAAAGTTTATCATTATTGTATACGTGCATTTTTAATTAGTCATGTTAATAAATATGTATCAATTCAAAAAATTAATGGGACTCAATTAAAATGATTTAGCTTACCGCATAGTCCCATCGCATATCTCAAATTTTGTCGAAGGATTTCTAACACATTAGTAACACCGCTGGCTCCCTGAACAAAATAGAAACAAAAAACAACAAAAGGGTATGGTTAATAAATAAATATTTGTTCAACATTAAGGCCCGAATTCACAAAGGAAGTTTGTCGACAAACCTTGGTTTTCGTACGTCATATGACGCGTTTTACGCGTTTTTTACAAACCTGGTTTGTAAAGAACAAAAGGAGGTTTGGCGAAACAAGAGGAGGTTTGAGCTCAAACCTTGCTTTGTGAATTCGGGCCTATGTGTGGTATAGAAGGAAAAAAAACAGAATTCCCCTTATAAAGCGTTCTTCGTTTGTAAAAGAGGTGGAGATTGGAGCTGTAAAAGAAAAACTAAGAGAGAAAAATAAACACATTCAACAAATTAATGTCCTCGAGCGGATGGAAACCATGCATAATAAGATTTAGTCAATCTTTACTTTTCTCCAAAAATGTAATAAAAAAACTATGAATAAACTCACAATTACTACTGTAAATTTTCCAAGTAATTTTCACTTTTCTCCGAAAATGAGGTTTGAAAGGTGAAAGAAAAACACTATTAATGCTATAAATCAAAAGTAAACTATGAGAATACAAAACAGAGAGATTGGACACATGCCCACCCTGAAGCTCGTTGTTGCTCGACAATATCGTACTTCTTTTCGGTTTTTTTAGCAGAAGGCTATGCACACTTTTCTGATCTCGTAAAATGCGCGGGAAAGCTAGTAATCTGGGTAAATCAGTAAATATTCAATTGACCCGTTTCGAGTATTGAGAAAGGAATTATCATATCGTCTCCTGAAAGCCAGAAGAGCGCTAAATCTGTGTCAAATGATATGATTATATTCTGTGGTCTGCCCACAGAGGGAAATATGTATACGCAACATATTCATGCATGAGCAGTATCCCTTAGGTGTGGGAAAGTCATTGTAAATACACAAACGGAGTTCAAGAAAAAATATCTCCGAGACTGTAATCATGAATATGAATGTGTGGCCATGTTAGAAAGCCACAATATTGGCTTTAGGAGACTGAAGTCCTTATTCTAAAAAAAAGATACCTACAAGGGTAAACAAATGTGTTAGTACCTACCAAACTATATATATATATATATATATATATATATTGTACAAAAACACAAGAAACTATGATTACAAATTTCACCATTAGGGCTTTGTTCTATAAATATATATATATTTTTTTTATAACATGTATTTCAAAGAAGAATCACTCGGGAATGTCAATATACCACAAAATATCCAACCTTAAAAATATCTGGTTTGTTTAACAATATTTTCGTTTATGATTATCTGCATTATCTGTACAAATAACAGTGTATGAAAAAGTGTTTACTGATGACGTGAATTCTCAAGACGAACCGATTGGACAAGTCAATCACCACAGGATTTTGCAAGTGATTTAGTCTCATACGTTGGCGATCCTATTTATTACTTGAAGTGTTATATAATTATTGCATTACAATAGTCCTACCAGAGCTTTGATCAGAACGTTTTTTTTTGTAAAGCCAAATGACAGATATAATGTAATGTTATGTTCATAACTCAGCCATGTCCACAACTTTTAATAACAGTAAGAGCGATGGTTCAATGGTAGTGTAATGGCCTCTTAACCGGGAGGTCTCGAGTTCGAAACTAAGTCGATGCGTTTGTGAAATTTTGGGTAATGCATTTATCCTCATTACCAATTCCTTCGGAGAGGACTAAAAGCAGTTGGTGCCCTGGTCGTTTACTTACAAGCATTCACACGTTTTATTAGTAGTCATGCAGGACAAACAAACCATAAATAATCAACCATCAAAAATTAAAGTATATTTTATACGTGTCTAGTAGCAAGATAGAATAGAAATAGGTCCGAATCCTCAAACTTACATTACACGCCAGTCCCCACAGAGCAGGTCTCCCTACAAATACAGCCTTGGCACCTCTAGCTAGAGCCTTGAGGACATCTGTTCCTGCCCGTACTCCTCCATCCATATATACCTCTACGTTTCGACCACGAACTGCTTCCACTACTTCAGCTAATGCGTCGATCTTCAATTATGGAAAAAATACATGTCTTTTGACAAACTAGACGAGGCAAAATATTTGGGGTATAAATAAAATTTAAACAAAAATGATAGTACCATAATAAGAAACGTTATAAAAACTAGTTCCAGCACGAGAAAAACGTCTTCAAAATTCACCAACCATGTTTGAGGGAGTACACTAACAACGCAATTTTTACAGCAAATATTGCTTTAATGAATTTGTACATGAAAACTTGATTAACTCTTGTGCTTTTTTCCGGATTTCATTTAAAAGATTTATCCCTTTATCGGAAACATAATCTCAAACTCAATCTCTGACTCACATTTAAGTCCAAACTCAAATTTAAAATCGGACACAAACCGATCTGGGAACTCGATCTCAAATTCAATCTTAAAGTTAAACTAAAACTCTTTTTAAAAGAAACTCGATCTCAATCTCAAACTCAATCTAAAACCCAAACCCATACTCAAACATCACCAAGCTAAAATTTAAACTCAAACTCATCTTCAACCTCAAATGCAAACTCAAATTCAGATTCAGGCTCAAATTTACTCAGAAATAACTCACAGGCGCTGGTACTCCATCAAGTTGTCTTCCACCATGAGCAGATATGAATATACCACTTGCCCCGGCATCAGCCGCCTGTCGAGCTGCTTGACCTAAATTATAAAAACCATAGAAAGAATTTACAAAAATGTGTTAGTGTGCACGTTATGATATGTGTGTGTTTTTGTGTGTATTGGTGTGAATGTGTGTGTTAGGTCATAGGCGAAGAAGGGGAACTGCAGCCTCCCATCCTAGCCCCCCCCCCCCCACCCCTTCCCCCCTCTCCGTGGGAATTAAGAAATTACCAAAATTCAGAGAATCGATACCTCAACTTCAATGATTATATTCAAGAAATTCGGGCGGCGAGGTGGTCTATTTATAACCTTTGCATCATGTTATTACATTTAAAAGAAAAAATTGACTTGTAACTACCATAAAGTGTCAAAACTTGCTCGCACACTCGGAATATTGATAGTTGTGAAAGTTCATATTCGGGCATGAAACATCAGCATCCTAACCGAAATGGTGCCCACGTGCCTTTGTTTGAGGTTGAATTATAGCGAATCAAAACTTAAACGCTTTCTTATACTAGCATTAAGTGGTGGTGCATTTTTTTATTCATTAAGGTCGCCACAATTTCAACGTAACAGGTACACACACACTTTACAAGCCTTACGACTTAAACACCTGCTGAAGTGTTAAAAAAAACAATCATAGAAATATCTGCTTAATTTAGCTTATAATTGATTACCATAACCTTTCATGTCTGTACCTTTCCTATTGCACTTTGTATCATGTACGTATTTCATCTCTTGCACAAGCTGCGCCTTGAGCATTTGAATATCAAGTGGATTTGGCGCCTTATAAATCCTTTTTTTTAATTATTATTAAGACAATTCCATGAAAAAAGAGTCGTAATCGTAACGTGATATGTATATCATTCCACATCACCGTGTCATTAAATATAACGTTTTGTTATTGTTTTGTTTGTTTGTTCGTTTGTGTTTACTTAATTTCGTCCAGCCCCACCAAACCGGATACGACATGTAGACCTACTACAGTCTCGCCGTCAAACAGTGGCGTACGCAGGATTTGTTCAAGGGGGGGGGGATTAAAATCGGGCCCAAAATTTCGCAACGACTCAGCCAGCCGCTGAATAAGCTGGGGGGGGGGGGTAAGCGGACACTTTTTTTTTTTTTTTTGCCTCCAAAAAAATACACATAAAAAAAAAAACTCAAGGAGGGGGGGTTTAACCCCCCCCCCCCCGCGTACGCGCCTGCCGTCAAAATATCAATATTATCAGTGTTATACATCTTTATCATAATTATTGACATTGTTATCATAATAATATTGTCATCGTAATTCACTACCATATTTCCATAGGGATTAATATCTATAGTTCAGTCAATGTGCTAGTTGTCATTACATTATTTACATAATCAATACAATATACAAATAATGAATGGTTATGAGTTCAATAGTGCGAATATTTTCATGAGTTGAAAGATTAACATTCTATTCAACGAGGCGTTAGCCGAGTTGAATAGAATTAATGTTAATCTTTCAACGAATGAAAATATTCGCACCATTGAACGAATGAAAAACATTCATTATTTTTTTTACACAACATCGAAGAAGATCTAATAGAACGTTAATCAACAAATTATGCTTTACTCCTTATATTAAAGATAAATTCAAGTTGGATTCAAGCCTTCTCGATTACATTCAGATTGCCTTCGCGTCAGATACTCGCAGGGATACGCGCGCGCACGGCAGAGAGGTACGCAGTCTGCATATAACCAAAAATGCACGGCGCATATAACCAAAAATGCACGACCGTGCAATATACCATCTATTGAATATCATGTGACCAACAATCCTCCAATCAAATGACAGGGATCCACGTAGGTGTTGTATAACATCGTACAACATTGAATGGGGCGAGGAGGGTGCATGTCCATATACCTGTGAGAATGCCTTTACACACGATAGGAAGTGACGTCACACTTCTAAGCCACTTGACGTCATCCCACGTGACACTACTGTCCATGTCTGTTCCGAAATGAACGAAGAGTGTTGGATCTCCTGCTCGTTTAGCTGCTGCCTGGGACTCCGATGAGTCCATCTCCATGTTAAAATATCTGAGGTAGAGAGAAAAGAAGAGAAAATAAAGATATAGAGAGATGAGACAAGAGAATTGAAGAGAAAAAATAGTAGAGATTAGAAGAGAGCAAATAAATCGGCTGTCAGTACATTGTATCGTTCCATGTATGGACTTAGTATATGAAAGTAACCACTTAACATGAAAATAAATATTCTGGATAACCTTTAATACCAAAAACCTAGTATGGACAATTATCAAAAGAAGTTCTTATACACATGTAATAATCACTCCTTTCTAAAAATTTAATGTTGTTTATGTGTATCCAAAGTGTAATTTGGTTCAAAGTTATGAGAAAATGAGTTTCTAAAAAAATTTTTTTATTGAAATTGGTGACAAAACAAAACAAAAATAGGAATGGATCAAAAGACAAACCAGCGGTCCCATTATTTTACGGCTGTGCCACGAATCCGAGATCGCATTTTATCAACTTGAAGGTTGAATAGCTTATCATGTACATACTCCATATAATCACGTATTGTACACTACATACCTGTACTCATCGTGTCGATGGCACATGTAATCAGGACCGACTTCATCAGCTTTAAACCCTGTCAGCGGAGAATCGATGGTAAGAACCACAGCTTTATAGCCCGCCCTCTCAGCCTCCCTGATGAGATGTCGTGTCACCTGGCGATCTTTAAAAATATAATCTGGCACCAGCGAAGTCCCTCCGGCGCGGCACGTGCAACGTCGGAATACTTCTCATTTGAGAAGCAACTCTGGATCATGAGAGTTCCTGCCTCCATTGCTCCTATTTATTTGAATCCAATAATTTGAAACTTGTTAGTACTTGATTATCTGTCGGAAGAGGTTTTCTAATTCATTTAATAGATAATGATAGTCCCAGAGCTTGGTGGCAATAAAACCAAACTGATAAGATATTTAATAGATGTAATTAATTTCGGGCAAAATCTTCAAAGCCCGAGTCCCTGGTGAAAATGGGTCTATGGTATTCTTGGACGCTATTTTTTTTTTTTTGGGGGGGGGGAGGGGGGAGGGGGCGGGAGGCCGGGGCAATAGAACTTTCTTATTCTTTCTCTTCTCGACTTCCAAGGTACTATGATTTTCATTTTTATTTCTTATTTGGAAAATTTGATAGTGCCATTAGGCGTGAATTAAACTGTAGCTACTTTAAAGGTATTACAAAGTTTTGGGAAATTTTGAAAAATGGGTGGATAGTGATTCTTTACAATTTTGATATATTTGGATTCCCCTGTGGATGTATTAAAAACACAAGAAATTGTAGCCCCTAAAACACTTCTGCTTTCGAGAAAAATTGAATATAAAGATTTACCGGTGCTCCCGGTAAATTTTGATAAATTTCAAATAGCTCCTACGGCCGTACAATGGTAGCTGCGATCATGAAAGAGTATGTAGTTGTGGTATATCATTTCCGAACGAGAATAGCTAATCGGTCGATTTTAGTCAATAAACATTGTTTTATAGTTTAATTATCTTGATCTTGAGAGGGAGCTATTCAACATAAAGTGTTTATTATTTACAATTTCATAACTTTAGAGTCGATTTCGACCGCGACAACGATCACTGAATATTGTAGGATCGTATATAAATGCTTCCAATATGTTCATTTGAACCAAATCCATGACCCCATACCAAAACTTTGTATTACTTTTAAGAGCGAACGAGACTAGAGGAGCGAATATTCGTATTCAAAGTTTGTGAAGAGATGCATAAAATGTCATGCATGCATACTTTGTCATCATTGCAGTTATCATTTTAATCCTTATATACAAGAACAGCTCTCAATTTACTAATAGTATTTATCCCTTGGAAAAAATTACGGTTTAATTTCCCGTTTTCTTCACTTACTACGGAATATAATGTGCTAGGCTTTTTTCATTAACTAGTGTGAAGATAAAAGAAAACAAAATTGTAATATGGATAATTAATTAATAATAATAATCAGAAGAATACTACATTAACCTCTTGCCGTGGCCTTTTCCCCATCAGCATTAGCTAAGCGATGAGCTCCAGTTGGCGAGACACATATAGGCATACTAATGGATTGACCCAAGACCTTGGTTGACAGTTGGATATCAGACACATCTACGAGTAGGCGTGGCCGAAATCTATACCTGCAGAACTCAAAAGAATATTTCATTTAGTAGATATGGATGCCAAAAAGAATCTTGATTTTTTTTTTTTTGTCTGTCTGTTTCGTTGTTTGTGATTTGTTTTCCTTTGTTTTTTGTGTTTTTTGTTGTTGGTTGATATGCATTCAAGGTTTGAAGTATTATTCAGTTTTTACTGTATTTTTAAAATAACTTTTAACGATTTAAGGACGATAATAACACTACTACCACTACTACTACTACTATCAATGATAGTGATAAACTATGATAAATTCATATAGCCATTCATAGTGGTTCTAAGGTGTCCCCTCACTTTTCTTAAGGACCGCTATTCATAAGGACGTTATGCCTTTATGAATAGTGACCCCCTTTCTGTTTTATGAATAGCAGTTATTCACGTATAGGAAGTTTCACGTTATGAATAGCGGTCCTTAAGACTAGCGAGGTTACTCTGTTTTTAAAGGCTGAATTGTGATGACTATGATAAGCCGCTCTTTTATTCAGGCAATTTCTTCTTACTGGTTCTCCAAGCACATTACCTGGATTGAGAACGGCAAATGTAGATTAATGTCTCGCTAAAGAACGCCAGTGCCACGCCAGGAGTAAGAACCCCGGACCTTCGGATAGCTTGGATACTTATCCACAAGACCACTACTCCTCTTTATTCATGAGTATAATTATAAACATATTAGAATAGAAGGAAGCTTAAGCCTGAGGTCCCTTACTCCAAGGTATTATAGGGTAACCATTGTTACGACCAGTGGCGTACACAGGATTTTTTCAAGGGGGGGGGGGTTAACATTTTGAAATCGGGCCAAAAATTTCGCAACGACTCAGCCCACCGCTGAATAAGCGGGAGGGGGGAGGGGGGGGGGGGTAAGAGTACACTTTTTTTTTTTTTGGGGGGGGGTTTCGAAATTTGAACATTTGACATTTTGCTCCGTAGGGGGAGGGTAAGGTCACTTTTTTTTAGGTCAGCCATTGGCATCATTTTTTTTTTTTTTTTTTTTTTTTTTTATAAATCCACAAAAAGGGGGGGGGGGTTGCTCAAAAATACACACATAAAAAAAACTAAAGGGGGGTTTAACCCCCCCCCCCCCTGCGTACGCGCCTGGTTATGACGGTCTTGCTTGTACGGGTACTATACACGGATGCTAATGAGAAATTTCATCTTGTAGTGTCAAATTTACTCGGCAGTCATGCTGACAATCCTTCTTATTGTTTCCCATTTCTTTATTGTCAGATGCAGTTGTCTGATAAAATCTTTGTGAAAACCGGAACTACAACGCGATAATAAGACGTATAGTACGATACTTGACACTTTGTACATGTAGTATCATGATACATGTAGTTTGTTCATGTCAAATGCGGATTACAGTATTTGTATAGAACCTACGCCACTGATTAAAAAAACATATAACAATCATTTTTTATATCGTTCTTATCATACAATGTGGGGTCATGCGATTGCATTGTGAAAGAAACCTATAACAATCATTTTTGATATCGTTGTTATCATACAATGTGGGGTTAAAGATAAATACCAGTTATGGTCATGCGATTGCATTGTGAAAGAAACCTTTTAAGTAAAGACCAGTATTGGAAACGCCCCAATTTCAAAAAATGAAATGGAAGCTCTTATTACCAATCATGTGAAAGAATATGTTTTGACTAATACATGATGATACAAATTTTGCCGGGAAACCGCCTACTAATTGATAAATTTGGTAAATTAGTTTATCTATTGGACTGTGAGAGATAAACGCACGTGTCGCGCACGTTTGCGTAGTCCCATATACATCTGTCTGTGTACAGTGCTTGTAACTTTACGAAGACTGGGCCAAATTTCTTATCATTTTGACGATTCCAGAACCTTGCAGTACCAATACTTATATGCTAGATGATCAACCTTTTCTGATCGATTCCACAACGTTCAACTTTCACAATGCAATCGCATGACCATAACTGGTCTTTATCTTTAACGAACGTTGCGAAGGTTTAATCATAGGTTTGCTCTAAGGATTCAATGTGCAGATTAAAGGGTGTCCGAAATGTCACTCAAATTAAAATTTCGTACTTCATTTTCTTTTTCGTTTTGTAACAAAGGCCAAGGGCATATATTGATGAAATCCCTTTCCAAATAAAATACAATATGTATCTATTCTTGAATAATGTCATTCAGGAAAAGAAAAACAATCTCATACTTGTTTTGTGCTGGAGATATTGATGTTGAAGATATCTGTTGCTCATGTTTTCATTTCATTTCAGTATTATTCTTTGCTGAATGTATTTTCTTTACAAATCAGAACGATAATAAGTATGTTGAAAAAGAGTACAAATATAATTTTAATTTATATGCTCATGCATGAATAAATATGTTTTTATATTTTTTATTAAATAATACCACGCTTGCACTGAGACACATTAGAAATTATAAAAAAGGAGAAAACAAGTAACACTGAAATGTAGGACGTTTGAGACTCTACCACGTGTAGATTGAAAATCCAGAACATTAGCATTTCTATTGTACAAGTACATCTATCTATAATATGTAGGGCTGTTTTCCTAGTTGTAGTATATCGGCGCAAATATTTGACTTTACAAGAAGTTAGACTCATGTAGGCAATTTTCTATTTCATCTGTCAGGAAACATTTGAACGTTTACCTTCAAAAGGAAAAGTTGTAAGCCATTTAGTAGATTGTTGGGGGTATATGTTAATCATACGGACCTGTTATAAGTGGTCCTTTTGTCTGAGTGTAAATTTTTGCTGTGAATATAGATAGATTAATTTCAATTCCATTCAGTCGACATGTTTGGTACCAACATGCAGGCGCGTACGCAGGGGGGGGGGGGGTGTGTTTGGGGGGTTAAACCCCCCCCCCTTTGGTATTTTTTATGTGTGTAAACCCCCCTAAAAAAATCCCTAAACCCCCCCCCCCTTTGTTTTTTTAATTTTTTTTTTTTAATTTTTTTTTTTAAAAATTGAAAAAAAAAAAAATCACCCCCATGGCTGACCTAAGAAAGGTGACCTTACCCCCCCCCCCCCCAACGGAGCAAAATGTCAATTTTTCAAATTTTGAGACAAAAAAAAAAAAGTGAATATAGATAGATTAATTTCAATTCCATTCAGTCGACATGTTTGGTACCAACATGCAGGCGCGTACGCAGGGGGGGGGGGTGTTTGGGGGGTTAAAACCCCCCCCTTTGGTATTTTTATGTGTGTAAACCCCCCTAAAAAAATCCCTAAACCCCCCCCCCCCCCTTTGTTTTTTTTAATTTTTTTTTTTAATTTAAAAAAAAAAAAAAAAAAAAAAAAAAAAATCACCCCCATGGCTGACCTAAGAAAAGGTGACCTTACCCCCCCCCCCAACGGAGCAAAATGTCAATTTTTCAATTTTGAGACAAAAAAAAAAAAAAAGTGTCCTCTTCCCCCCCCCCCCCCCCCCCCCCCCCACCCCCACCTCCCCTTCAGTGCCTCTTCTCTTAATTAAATATTACTTAGCTAGCATATTATAAAAGGTGCTCTAAAAAGAATAGACCCTCCTGGGCAATGAACTTATGAACATTTTTAGCCATTTTATATGCTGGAACAGATTGGAAAGTAATCCGGCACTACGTTACATTCACATTAGAGCCCATTCGTAAAGTGATTACAACTCTCGACATATACATTACCCCCCCCCCCCCATTCCGCACCTTGCTGATTGACTATGGGAAACGCTCTTACCTTTTGAAAGCCTGCTCACTGTCACGCAATGTCAAGCCTTCTCCTGACGAAAGCGCATAATATCTGAAAAATGGTTCTGTAAGTTTTCGCCTTGCCATCTCTTCATATTGTTTAATAGTACGCAGCTCCATGCTGTAGACAATCTGGGATGAATTCTTCTTTTTCAACAAAAGAGTTCACTAATTTTGCTCCTTTTCAGGTTAATGGATGAAAAAGAAAACACACGTCTCCCGACAAAAAGCGATGACGACAATGAATAGCCGAGTCACTATTACAGAATATGGATTCTGCAAATTCACTGTCACCCTTTATCTCTCCAGTGATCTCAATGCGCAGACAATGTGTCAATAATCACTCGGCTTGACAAAGTCCACCGGAGGTGACTAGACTACGAAACCTCGATATATACATCATTTCTAATTCAATAACGTCACTGAAACTTCGCTTATGCTTTCGTGTAATTTTGTTTGAACCGAATGACCCGCACTTCAGGATACCACACTCAACATTTTGTTTAAAGATCGAGTAAAGGTCAGTTAAACAAAGGAGTTAGACTGGTGTCTATGGTGTCTACAGTTTCCCTTTGTTAAAATTGATCTTGTTTAGATCCAGCATTTGGGTATTAATCAGATCTGCAGAATATGACCAAACTCATGTTTGTGGGCTCCGTATATTAATAGAAAGAATTATGACACGGACCTCCAATTTTAAAAAATATGGCCATATCTATTTTTTGTATTGAGAGCATTCAGGTATTTAGCGCACGTTGATAGAAATATTGCATTATTGTGGAAACATGGGTTGTATTGATATATATTTTCTTTTATATAAGTGGCACTGGCTCTGGCCCGTTTCATCGCCGACTGCCCCTTACGTTGAAACATTTCCATATTCTCTCAAAATCGGAAAGTTTGTGGAATGGACGACCCTCCTTCCTGCTTGCCGTTATATGTTGCTAAAAACTATAGCCAAATCTCTATCGTAAAAATCTTGTCAGGAGACCTCGTTATACAGTGGATCAATGTCCTATTTTACGATATCAAAATATTTCTGCATGTGAAATGTGAAATCAATAAACTCAAACTCAAACTCAAACCGTTTATTTGCCTTACAAATGTACGCACAATTGAAAAGGTAACGTTAACATTGCATGAGGTAGATAATTATTTCGAAATTAGTTGCGATCGTGTTCATAGAAAATATAATAAAATCAGGGGTGTGTATAAGTGGAGTGATTTGGACACTACGTCGAGATGGAAGGGTCGTAGGTTGGATCTCCGCCAAACATTATGTCCACAAGCAAGACATTCTATGTACACTGCTTCTCTCCACCCAGGAGTCCAGGGGCGGATCCACGTAGCGATTTTTCCGGCCCGGCCCCCCCCCCAGCCCCCCAAAACGATAAAAAAATAGGATAATAACGTAAAGTTAACCTTTATAAAACAAAAACAAAAGCCCCCCCCCCCCCTTGACGCCGGCTGGATCCTCTGCAGGCGTGGATCCACGGGGAGGGGGGGGGGGGGGGCTGACGGGTCAACAACAACAAAAAGAATTCAAAGAAAAAAAATCTCACGAATTAGGTCCCCCCAAAAAATAGTGGTCTCACCCCCCCCCCCCCCCCCCCCCGCTTATTCACCGGCTGACTGAGTCGGCGCAAAATATTTCCTGAAAAATTGGACCCCAAAAAAGTGCCTCCTACCCCCCCCCCCCCTGCTTATTCACCGACGGCTGAGTCGCAACTATTATTTTCTCACGGATTGGCCCCCCCCCCCCCCTCTTCCCACCGGCTGGATCCGCCACTGCAGGAGTCCACATGGTTGAATTAGCACGTGTGTACGTGTAAAATGGGGTCTATAGCTGGAATGCTTACCACAGGATTGATAGAGTGCAAAATAATATGCAGAATAGCAATTGCATCCAATTACCGGTTACCGGCGCAAAATATTTCCTGAAAAATTGGACCCCAAAAAAGTGCCTCCTACCCCCCCCCCCCCCCCCCCCGTTATTCACCGACGGCTGAGTCGCAACTATTATTTTCTCACGGATTGGCCCCCCCCCCCCCTCTTCCCACCGGCTGGATCCGCCACTGCAGGAGTCCACATGGTTGAATTAGCACGTGTGTACGTGTAAAATGGGGTCTATAGCTGGAATGCTTACCACAGGATTGATAGAGTGCAAAATAATATGCAGAATAGCAATTGCATCCAATTACCGGTTTCACATCCCAGCCACTGATGTTTTCGATTTAAAACTTAACGTCCCATTGCAAATCTGAGGTATTTTGGTAAACTTTTAAAAAGAATTGTAGCATTTTAGCTCCAACAGTGCTTGAGGACTCTCAGTTTATATGCAGAGTCACAATCTGGCTATCGTTCGTTTGATAGCATTGAAACTGCAATTTTGCGAGTCAGAAATTATGTCCTTTTATCTCTTGATAAAGAAGAGGAAGTCATCCGTGTGATTTTCACGCGTGTTCGACACCATTAAGCATGACATATTGTTGCAATGCTTGAGACTGCGTTTTGAAATTGAAAGTCAAGCAATTATGTGGATAGAGTCCTACCTATCCCAGCGCCCTCACACTGTAGTAATTGGAAGCAAGAGGTCATTCAGACATGACATTTCTCAAGGAGTCCCATAGGGGTTCGTACTTGGCCCAATTTTAGTTATTCTCTATACATCTCCTTCAGAAAGTTAGTTGTTACCCATAACATTCCTAAGATGTTTTTTTATGACGATACGCGACTGTTCATCGTGTTTAAGAGGAAATAGTGATGTTGATTTACTACAGAAATATCAATTGAGTGCGATCGGTCAAGGAGTGGTCATGGGTTAATGGTTTAAAACTCAACTGTACCAAGATTGAATTTCTTCATGTTTCTTCACGGCACAGATTAGGTTACCCAACATTGAGAGTGAATTTAGATGGCAATCTTGTTCATGCAAACAAAACATGTAAAAATCTAGGGGTTACTTTTGAAGGAAAGTTCACTTTTAAACTTTTGTTCCACAAAAACGTCCCTCAGCTTCTTGTTGTGGGTTGTACAAAAGACGTAAAATTCGATTTTCTTTTGGACAGGACTACCACTAAATGCATAATTCATGCTTTTGTTATGTGACATTTTGATTGTTGTAATATTTTGCTTTTTGGACTTCCGTCTTATCAAATTCAAAGATAACAAGTCACTCAAAACTCAGCAGCGCGACTATTAACACGATTAAACAAATATGAATATCTCCAGTCTTAAGAAATTTACGTTGGCTACCTATCCAGTCCCGCATCAAGTTTAAAGTACTTTTATTAACTTATCAATGTTCCATCTGTTTACAAAAAGACAGCAGCGATCTTGTTTTAAGCACTGACACAATAATTATCTGACCGTTGGATTATTTCGTTTGATAGAGCAGAAGATTGTTAGTGTGAATTAATCTAAAATTCATTAATAAACCAAGAAACGTTGATGTGCTTTGATCTAATACTAACGAATAAAGTGAATGGATGTGATGGAAAAGGAAAGACATGACCTACACTGACGTCGAGAAGTGGGAAAGAAGAGGTAAGGTGGAAATACGGAAAGAGAATGTGTGTGTGTGTGTGTGTGTGCGCGTGTGTGCGCGTGTGCGCGTGTGTGTATGTGAGGTGGTGTGTTTGGGTATGTTTGTGAGTGCGAATACCGGAGAAAATGTAGGGGGGGGGGAGAAGAGGAAGACAACGGAGTAATTTTCAGCACACAAGGTAGAAGTTCATAGACATCATCAATCATATATACAGGTGTATAAACATGCCAATTTAGGAGTGAATTACTTTCAATTTTATTAATAAAAACGAAAAACATTAACGTACAGTGATCTAACACTGACAAATAAATCGAAGGGAGGTGATGAAATAGGAAAAGGTATGAAGAGGTAGGGACATTGGGTGAGAAGGGGAGAGGAGATGGAAATAAGGACAGAAAGAGAGAGAGAGAGAGAGAGAGAGAGGGAGAGTCATTAGTATGTGCGTGTGTGTATGTATGTACATGTATGTTTGATTAATGGAAATAAATGTGGGAAGGAAAATGAGAAATAAAGGAAGGCAATGGATTAATTATCATTAGAAAGAAGTTCACCGAAATTACAAGGAGAGAAATATATACATGGTTATGTGCGCGCGTGTGTGTGTGTGTGTGTGTGTGTGTGGGTGCGGGCCTGTGTGCCTAGGATCATGTTAGAACTTCAGGGTTATTGAGTTGGCTTTTCCCTGCTTTTCAAAGAAATTTTGCTCCTGAAGAACATCACACCATTGCTCGGTAATTTAAAATACAAATCATTCCAGGGATTAGTTTGCCGGTATACTCCAAACCCAAAACTTCTTAATTTCTATGCCAATTTAGCGAAAACCTCATTCCGCTTGGAAGACCAATGTGTAGCTTCTAGACTTTATGATATATCGCAATTAGACATCACAAAAAATGGATGAGAAGCAAAAGAGCCTTACAGAATAATAAAGTATTCTACGGGGAAAATGAATTAGGGCAGACATCTAAAACGAAGATGGTTAGATAAAGGGAGAAATCAAGATAGAGGAAGAGAGTAATATAGCCAGGGGAAATATAAGGACCACAGTAAAGCCCCATATTAGAGATTAGGTACTGGATTATTTGTTCTTATAAAGTAATTTCTCGGAATGATATTACTAAGGTGTCATAATCTTCCTAAGCAAACTCTCTCTCCCCCGCTTTAAACGAGCAGTAATCCTCCCACTGCATTCTAGCAAAAAACTGTGTCTCTCTTGTGCCTGATAGCTATTATTATTTGTTCTTCGATATTCATCGCATGTAACCTGACAGCATTGTAGATATATTATATCACTTATACAATTAGAATATACTATACTCTTGTTCCTATAACCAGAAGAAATATGTCGCTCGTATTCTAGCTCTCCATCTTTCAATGTCTTCAAATCCAAATTAAAAACATATTATATAGTTCAATTTAGAAATTCTATTTTGCAGAATTGAGTTTTAAAAAGGAGCTCTGTACCAGGGCAGCTGAATATATTTTGAATAAAAGCTGCGCTATATAAATTCATTATTATCAATCCACTGTTTACGCTTAAGTTGTGTACCACAATTATCATTTAGTTATGTATATCTCTTTGTACATGCCACTCGTTGTACATCACCTTTGTAAATGAACTTTTAGTAATTTTCTTGTAAAACTTCAGCTGCATACTAAATCACCCCTGTACATGTAAATGTATATATTAACAGAACAAAAACAGACGTACTGAACACCATGCAGTGTCTATA